TTTTGTTTTCTCTATGTGAATGGCCAATCGGAAAGCTCGTTAAAAATATTTTTGAGGAGCCAATCAAAGTTCGTCACAGTTCAGTATTTGCCAGGGTCTTCGCACGAGCGTCCGCCATTTTGCGAGTAGAGAAGACCCTGGGAACGAGGTTGGTCTAAGGCGCAGATGCTATTTTAGAGGAAGAGACCGCTGACAATGTCCGGCTCATGCAAACCTACAGACCTTCTAAAATGCGCTAAAAATCGCGGGTTTTCAATGTTGTATACATTTTAGAGACAAAAACGGTCCTTTAACACAATTTTCAAGTATTTCGTTTGAAACCTTTCGCAGTTGTCATGATCTATGGATAAATTTGGACGAGCAACAAAGGCTAGTTGCAGAAAAATCTAAGGGTGTTTCAGACAAGTCAAAGAGAATTCTTTGGCTGTTGGTATTTTTTATTACCAAAAGAGCTGTTGCTCAAAATTTACAGCTAAGACAAATCTCAAACGTTCGCAAGCCCGATGTGCTAAAATAATCGAAAAGAGATCCGTAGAGCCTGAGGAAGGTTCGAATGATAGAGATCCCCCTAGTGCCTCCCTGCGGTCAATAATATGGTAATAGAGAGTTTTTAGCATCACGTTGACGGCAAACGGGTAACGGCAGAGCTAAACCTGACCTAAGAATTTCGTGCCCGACCTTGTGCTTTTGGTAGTCATTTGAAAGAGCGGCTTTTCACGATTATGGCAACCCCAAAATAACCCGCTCTCGCGTTGAAGCTGCAACGGTAAACTCAAAAAAAGCAGGTCACGTGATCTTTTCTGCCGTTTGGCGTTTGACGTGAACGTCATGCTAAACATCTCTAATATCTCAATCAAAACAGCGGGATCAGAGAAAGCGCAACGTCTTGATTTGACGTATGTGTTGATAAAAATAGCGTCCTCAGATGACTCGACTATGGCCCTGTTCATACGCGGCCGTTTCCGTTCGGAACCGTTCTAGTTTAGGCGCGCATTCACATTGGACCTCTGGAACTGGCCCCATCTGAGGCTGGACAAGTGTTCAGGTTTGGGGTCGGCTAAAGAGCCGATCCACTTTAAGTACGCGTCATTTCGAAACATGAACGGATCCGTGTGAACACTGTTTCAATCCGTACCGAAATGTGGACCGTTCCGTGTGAATAGTGGGAACTGTCCTAAAAGGTGCTTCAAACTTGACCAGCGCCGTGTGATCGTAGTCTATTCTTCCTGGGTGGACAGGTAATAATATTAATAATCTAGATCTTTGGTGTCTGGGTGGTTTGAGGGACTGCGCAATATATATCAGGAGGGGGGTTGAGAATTCAGAGGGGGCGGGAAATATCTAATTTTATATGCTTAATGGGGGGCAACGTCTAAAATTAACTAGAACTTTAATTGAAAAATGAAAAATCAATGGTGTCAGATTCGAGAACTTCTCAAATGTGTGCCACAATTTGCGACAACTCTTGACAACTCTTTATTCAATAACATATAAACAAATAAATTCACAGGGGGGGAGGGGCGGGGGGCGTAATTTTTTTCGATTGCGAGGGCCGGTGTTTCGTAATTAACTTTTTTGATTTTTTGGCTCATCCTCAAGCTCTCCCTCCCCCCTCCCCCCTCCCCCTCCTGATAAATATTTCTTGTAGAAGCTTTTGTGGTATTTCACCTCAGCAGCAACGCAATCTTTCTCTAATACAAGAACCCGCTGGTCGCTCTTTTTTGTCGTGGCTTCTCTCAACTTCCCGCAGTTCATTGTTTTTGCTGATGTCAGTTTCTATACTCTGCATTTTCGGGTGAGCTCGTAAATTACGACAATAGAAATGGTTTTGGGGTATGTGGCTATAGAAAACAGCAATTACTAATAGTTAATTTCTTGATTTTGCCCTTAAACGCACCTACATTACACTTTGATGAATAAATTTAAAGTGCGCATGTGCTTTTTTGTAACAAGTTATTACATTTTTCTCAACTCTTAGAGTACTTCTGATTTCGTGGTTTGAATTCGAACAATTCATCGCCATATGTGATACGATTTGGTATGTAATATCTATTCCGGGTGTAATCCATTTATACCGCGTGTTGTGCCATTAAAGTATAAAGTGAAATATGCCGGAAATGAATACGCACCGTATCAGTGACAAAAATTTCATCCTTGTTACAGATAATGCATACTGTTGGTAGTACAGTGCTGGAACATGATGATATATGGACGTACTGGGCATTGTTGATCGCAGGGAGGTGGGGCAATAGGAAGATCTCTATCATTCGTGCCTTCCTCTCACTGGAAAAAATCGCGCGCTTTAAAGGTTGTAAATTTGATGTATATGTGATGTAAGTGTCCAAAATGATGTAAATTTGATGTAAATCATTTCCATCAAATTTACATCATTTTGGACACTTACATCATTTTTCCATCAAATTTACAACCTTTATGGCGCGCGATTTTTTCCAGTGTCTACGGATCTCTTTTCGATTATTTTAGCACATCGGGCTTGCGAACGTTTGAGATCTGTCTTAACTGTAAATTTTGAACAACAGCTTTTATGGTAATAAAAAATACCAACAGCCAAAGAATTCTCTTTGACTTTGTCTGAAACACCCTTAGATTTTTCTGCAACTAGCCTTTGTTGCTCGTCCAAATTTATCCATAGATCATGACAACTGCGAAAGGYTTCAAACGAAATACTTGAAAATTGTGTTAAAGGACCGTTTTTGTCTATAAAATGTATACAACATTGAAAACCCGCGATATTTAGCGCATTTTGGAAGGTCTGTAGGTTTGCATGAGCCGGACATTGTCAGCGGTCTCTTCCTCTAAAATAGCATCTGCGCTTGCTYAGACACGAAAATCCAAGATGGCGGACATCAAAACAAAGGTCAAAAATTCCAAACTTTCAAGGGCTTTAACTCAAAAACTGCAGGATTTCAGAGGTACCAAAAAGCATATTTGGATTCAGAAAGTAAAAGTCTATAGATTTATGTTGTTTAAAAGTAGTCTCCTTGAAGTTTTTTTTTTTTTTTTTGAACGATAATCGACTTCAGAACACGGACTGGTATGAAACTCTGGTAGCATGATGAATTGATCTGTGCACTGGATCATTCATTTCATACCTGTAGCGGTATTTTTTCGATTTTCACGAGACGCTTTCGTAAATGATCGTAAAAAGTCGAAAGTTCGACGAGATGTCAAAGATAAAGCTCAAGGATAAAGTTTTTATATTTGATTTTCTACAAACAAGAGGAAAAGAAAACGCAAACAGGCAAAAGGCAAATAAACAAAAACAAACATGGAAGGTTTTCGAGTTGCTCGAGTTTATTAGCTTTTCATATTTATTAACAATGATAAGGTTTATTACCAAAATAGACATTATTTTGAACAAGTTTAAATGATTATTGATCTTCGTCATCTTTGCACCTAAAAATGGTTAGATCGAGTTGAAACGATTCGTTTAACGAAGCATTTTTAAGTTTTCAAACATCAAAATCATTTATCTAAATAATCGAATTCTTCCGCATAAATACCAAAACTAAAACGGTGAAACGTAAGCTTTATAACTTACTAGTGCTCAAACTGCCGCCGGTTTATAAGAAAATGCATTAAAGAATCAATGGATTTCATAGGATCTAGAGTGCCTGACGTACCTTTAAAACTATCAGGAAAAGACCTCTAGTTTCAACCACTCACTCATTCAAGAAAACGTGCTTGAACTGGGCATAAACAAGAAATAGCAGTAGGTGTAAAAATCCACGTCTATTTGGTCCAGCTTTTGAGATGAGCAAGTGTCTTCAATAAGAAGTTTGCTTTTATAGTCCAGAACTGGACCCTCTTTTCTCAATTACTATAATATTATAAGCAAAAGTTAAAAATCCAAAACGCACGCTCAAGAAAATTGAGAAAAGTGGGTCCAGAAAAATTTGTCAGCGCATGCGCTACATCAGCCAATCACGGTCGATCAAAAGAAGCGTTCTCAGCCACAGGAAGCCCAAACAATGATTTTGAATCTACTTGATATATACATCATAATTTGAAATAAAAATTAAAAGCTAACTTCGTATCATCAAGACAGTGAGAGATAAATCGCTGTCCAGAAAAGTAAAACAATCTACAACTGAATACAAGGAACAAACAAAAAAAGCACTGAAAGATTCCCGCCAATTTCGCGTTTGCACACCCAACAGCTATAGATGTAGTATTTCTTCAAGTTAAGAGACAACAAAACTAAGCATTTTTGACGTTTTGAAATCAACACTGAGGAAAACAAATAGCCCAAAAGAAGGATGAACAATATGACCTTCGACAACAACGAAATTATGATTATCACTTGTGAAATGCAGGAAAAGCTACGATGAAAACAATGATTTTCTGAGCATTTTGTCGAGAAGGCCGATTAGATGGATGTTCACTGGATAGAATATGCAACAAAATCGACTCAAATCATATACTGGACTTTTGAAAATGTTTTTATTTTCTAATGACCAGAAAATTACAAATCAATAAGCTTACTTCCCTGTTGAAGACTCAAAAATATCAAGCTTTTTATACATGCCAAGGGAATCTGAAGTTATTTTTGGCTGTTTCTCTTAATATCGATACGACAACAAAAACGGTTATCCAGAACATTTGAAGCTGTTCCAGTAACAACCTAATACTAAGGTACGAATGAAACAAATGCTGAATAGCTTGATCTTAGCACTTATAGCTCTTTCTCCGTTTGGCATCTGGTTTAGCATATGAGAAAAGAATGCTAAAAAGTCATCCGAAATTTTACTGATTAAGCTAATATGTTATCTTTCTCAATTAATCTAATAATAATTTTCAAATAAAGAAATAAGTACTTAAGCGTAACTTACTTGAAAAGGAGATGCGTGATTTTGTGTTCATAAGTTCATGCTTACATCAACCTTTTAGTACCGACAGGACGATAAAACTCATCAATTTTTCGTGTCAGTTATATTTGTATAATAATCTTTCTTGTTCTTGCGTCTAGACTATGTTGTATTCATTAACAGATATAATAATATAATGAAAAAATTACTCAATTCTGATTGGCTGATAACATCTCAATTAATTCTTACTTCATTGCAATTACATTTCTTGAGCAGTTCAAAAAGCTGTAATATCAGTCCTCACGCAAATATGGCCTCTTTGAAAAACAAACTCGTGCAAATTAATTCCAAATTGAACTCGAAACCATCTTGTTACCTATACTAATAAACCCGCAGTGATTCTTTGCAAAATGATCGCAAAAGATTTCTTGACCGCGCGGCGCAGCAAGATTAGCTATTTAACAAATCGAAATCGCTTTTCATTGTCGATAAGCGTACAGACCATAGAAAAGCGATTTCGATTTGTTAATTTTACCATAACAAAGCCGTAAACAAAGTAAAACTTTCAAAACAAAATCGTCTCTGGCGCGCGCCGGCTCCGTGCATAAGCGATTCGTCATTTCATCGGTCTGTCCTACGATCGACAACGGCTCTCGACCAATCAGCGCGCGAGAATTCTACAAGTTATGGTAAAAAGGGTACCCAAAAACAGGGCGAAACTGGCGCATGCGCTGACAAATTTCTCTGGACCCTCTTTCATCCTAACCGTTGAGTACGTTGATTCAAATAGTTTTCAACTCCGCGCGCGCAAGGTTAAAAGAGGATCCAGTTCTGGACTACCCACGATACTGACCAACCTGGTCAACTAAATTCAGGGGACGAGCGAATGCACGGCATTAGCGGACGAACTTTAAAAAAAATCTAGAGCAATGCGACTGTTTACGAAAGGTCTCGTAGCCTTTACGAATAGAAAACGCTATGGAGAGGTAGACACGATACCTGGTGCACACATGGGTCCACGGCCTCTAAAAAAATCTTTTTGTCATCATGCAATGAAGAATTCAACATTGTTGAAGAGCCCCCAATGTATAACTGACAGTAGTTTTAACACATGACATCTCTCCGTAAAAAACAATTGTACTTTATATCTCAATTTTTTTTCTGTTCCACAACAGATATTTGATGGAAATTCTGATCGATTTTCTGTTGTAAGCCATAAACTGGCAGCACCTGTCTACGCTGAATACATCCGTTTCCTACCATTATTATGGCACACTAAYGCGTCGATGAGGGTGGCGGTTTATGGCTGTCCATCAGGTGAAATTGCTGAAAAAATATATCTGATATATCGTTATATCCTTTTTTATATACTTTAAAAAAATGATAATCAATATAGTCTAATTAGTTTAAGTTTTTTTCTAAATACACATCAATTTGAATTGTAATGGTAATATTTATATTTCATTTTTAGTGAAATTTCATTATGATCGAGTGTATGCAAGAGAAGGAAGCAAAACTGCACGAGTTGGAATACACCGAATTGGATCGACAAGTATTCTGTCTACTGTCATGCTGTAAGCATACGTTCTTTTTTTGTCTTTTAATGTTGTTTATTAGAAGAAAGGTTAGTAGTTACAAAGAAATTATTTATTTATTTACAACTTTTTAAAAGAATATAGAGCACTACGTGAGCCTCTCTAAAATTTCTTTTTTTGTTTTAAGCTGTGAGACCCATGATGACAGTGCAAAGCATCCCCATGACTACCACAAGCACGACTTGCCAATCCACTTGTACTTTCGCCCAGGAGAGACGTCAAAGTACATCAGTGTACAAATACATGATGACAGAAATGTTGAAAACGAGAATATCCGATTACACTGTGCCGTGGGTGACAAGCGTGTTGACTTATTACGATATCAGAATGTGACAATTGTAAATGACGATCGTACGTATTGTTAAGTTTTTCATTTGATATTACTGTTCATTCGACTTTCTCTAATGTTGTCAATGCTGTCAATCACCATCTTTGCACTCTAGACCGTACTCGATCTTGTCTAAACACCACGCTCTCTTAGATATAAAGGAACCGCGGAGCATTTTTTTGTTCGAAGTGGCTAACGACCACCGAAGGCTGGATCAAGTAGAGGAACCAATGAATTTTTGAAATTTTGAACCTCGGGAATGCGATTTTCAGCATTATGAGTGGCTTCGAGGACATATTTTACGCATACATGAAAATATTAGTTGAGACTGCCAAGGCGTATCAGTATAACATTTTATTGAATTCGCAAAAAGTGATTGGGGGGACTCCAACCTCCCTTAGCCATCCCCCCCCTCCCTCCTCCACATAAAGAGCATGGTTGACACATAACTTGCATTCATTTTTACCTGATTATGACCGCAAAACAAAACACGTCCCACTTTTCAAAGCTATACTCTGACAATACCTCTATCCGGCGTTTTCAAAATGGCGGACCTGATCAGGATAGTAGCAAATGTGACGCCATGCTAGGGCCAAGGATAGCTTGGGGACGAGGCTAGAGAAAGACTTACTTGCACATATAATATCTTGGCGTTGATAATAATGTTCGTTCTCTATACTATTTAGTTGATATCGGGTGTAAGAATGTTTCAGTTTATGAAGGCGATGGCTATGCCTCTGTTATCGTTTATCGAAGAGGAGCTATTGATTTTCTATCTTCATCGATCTGGTAAGCAAAACAACTTTATCTAGTAAGTTTATAATACTTGTCAGAGCCTGAAGGAAGAGTTCTTGAACACCACACGTTTATCTAATTTTTAGATATCTTGTGCTAAAAGTAAAAAATAAGTAAGAATAAAAGTACAAAGTCTTGAAATGTTTTCGTATTGGCTATGTAAATGCACTTGATAACCTGACCTATTGCAAGTTCTCCAAGCTGGAAATGCAAACTGTATATTAACTTCTAATACTTTCTATTTGTTTCATAAGGTGCGAGACACAGGACGGCTCCGCAAAGCATCCCAAAGACTATAATCACGTTTTCGCAAATGTAGTATTTGCTATTGGCGAAGAATCTAGTAACTTCACCGTAAACATTCAAGACAACAAAGCAATTGAACAAGATAAAACAATCCACGTGAACTGCTCAACAAGGGACCAAAGGACTGACTTGTCTTCGTGTACTAATGTGTTAATAAACATCAAAGACGATGACTGTAAGTAGAGAAATAATGCAGGGAATACTGATCTTGGATTTTCTTCAGAAAAAGATGCAGTGATTGTGTTACTCAAACCTAAATTTCCGGAAACAAACGAAAACAGCAACTGGAGCTTCCACGGCGGCTTTAACACAAATTGCTTTATTTTTCGTCTGAKGCAGAGTATAACACTTACGACGTTTGGTACATACATCAGGAGGAGCCGACCGGGTCTGTTCTTCTAAATAACTGTTCTTGCACGAATGTTTTCCTTGGAAAGGGACTTACAGCTGGCTGGGACATAAGAACAAATATATTTCTCACAGGAACCCGTTGGCTCCTCCTAATACATTTCACTTGCAAACATGAATGTAAAGATATATACAAACGCCTTACATGAAGGTGAAAACTCTGTGCCCCTCGTGGACGCCGTGAAGAGGACGTTCACGCGCATGCTCGCCACAGATCACAGGGAACCCGCCGTTACAGCAACAACAACTAAACGGAACATCATCAAACAGCTGTACAAAATAAACCAAAAATATTCTTCAAATGCATCTCTTCTTTGTTAACCTAATGCTATTATGGGACGCTTTTTCTTGAAATTCAAGTCAAGAACTTTTTTCCAAAATTTATTTTTATACTTGTGCTGAACTCCTTTCATTTCATTAACCATTTTATTTCAGAACGGTGTCCCCAAACAATAATTCTTGTTAGTTATAGGTGACTTCTTGATTTGTTCTTCTAGATTGCGTCTTCTTCTGTTCATCCTACAAGACACACGTGTACGAAAACGCAAGTTTTTACAACGTCAAGCTCTGCCGTGCAGGTTTCCTTGCCGCCAACGTTTC